TGCTAGATACCCAAATCCTCAGTCCCGGTTCAAGTCCCGCCTCCCCCACAAAGCCCTTTCCAACCACCCAGCGCAGTAGACCCCTCCGTTCTGAACTCTGAGCACTTAGTGTGTATCACACCTTTTAGTACGTAGGTTAGTAGCTCATATCAGAGAAGGACAGTCCTTTGGTAAAAATATTCAGCCCAAACCCCCCATTTTATGGATGAGGACACTGAGGCCCAAGCAAGTCATGTGACATGCCCAAGGCCACACTGTTTTCTAAAATATTTGCTCATTGCCTGCACACAGCTGTTCTGAATCTCCCGTCCATCTCTTCATGCTACCATCTTGTATTCACCTGCTGTGTGTGTTTATGCATGTTTTCTGTAAGGAAACTCAAAAACACCCTTAAAAGAACTCATATCTTCCAAATGAGCAATGGAGGGGGGTCAGCAGTGGTTGGGGTGTCTGGTCCTCCTCCCTGTGACTCTTTTCCAAGGACCACTAATCCTTGGACAGCTCTTACCCATTACCGTTACCCGCCCTCTCCTGGCTGTTCTCAGGAGCTCCACTCCCACTTTAAAACTTGAGTCCAAGCTGGATAGAGGGTGCTTGAGGGGGTGGAATAAACACAAAGTTACATGCAGAGGACGCACTCTGATTGACAAGAGAAGGCTTTTCCATCTTTGCTGGTCACTCTCCTTCTCATCTCCGTGAAAGAGCGGTGGTTACTAACCCCCTGATACCCAGGCACATCCTCCAAAGTCTGACACTCAAGCAAACACCCCAATCACAGGAGTTTCTATTCCTGGCGATCGAAGGCTCACCTTCCAGATTCTCCTTCTGGTTTAAGGAGCCTCTTCTTTTCACAGTCACATTCTTTAGGGACTACCCACCTCCCCCCACCCCCCAACACACACACAACCTAAAGGGTTCTTTATCCCAAACCTCAACAGGATGAACCCAGCAGACTACAACACATTGATCCCTACATGCAACATGTCTGCACAGGAGTGGGAGGTGGGAGGCAGCTTTAATGGTGTCTTCCTAACAGGTAACTCTCTAAGACAGGTACCGTATCTTATGAATTTCTGGTCCATTAGCCTTTAGCACAGTGCTGGGCATTTAGTGAACTTGAACCGAGTGGACTTGACACATCAGTGTACTTTGGGGAAGGAGCTTAGGATTAGGGGAAGAGGTTGGTATGGGAAGAGAGAAAGAATGCCACCATGCCCAGCCAGTGTGGCTCAGTGGTTGATCGTTGACCTATGAACCAGGAGGTCATGGTCCCATTACTGGTTAGGGCACATGCCGGGTTTTGGGCTTGACCCCCCAATAGAGGGTGTGCAGGAGATAGCTGATCAATGATTCTCTCTCCTCATTGATGTTTCTCGCTCTCTCCCTTCCTCTGTGAAATCAATATAATTTTTTTTTTTAAAAAAAGAGTGCCATCATGTTTCCCACCTTCCAGAATACTAAAGAATGACTACTCCACTTTTGTTCTCCAGAATGTATGTATTCATTCATTCACTCATTCAACAAATATTTCTAGAGTGCCTGTTGTTTGCCAGGCATTGTATTTGGTCCTGGACATTAGTAATGAATAAAAATAGCCGTTGTGTACGCCCCCAAAGAGCTTTGATGGGTGACCTGTCATGATCTCATTAGTAACAGGAGGAGCGTGGTTAGTAAGGCATGCTTGACCATGAGCTGAAACACCTCCGTCTCCTGGAGATGCCTGGATTTCCTTGATTTTATTGTGCAGTGTGGATGCTAAGATGGGTTTTGCCCAAGAAGCCCCACCGATGTGGTTACCCTGGTTAACCAACACTACCAGTTTGAGGCAAAGAAAATAATAGGCAGTTGTGTAATGTATGCACTTTATCTTTACAGAAGACCTTTACAGATCAGTTTACTAGAGCCTAATGAAGCAATTAGGTATATATGGGGTAATTTAGTTGCTTCTTTACTTCTACAATAAATGTCACTGTTTTTGATGATTGCAAATTTGTTCTGGTGCCTGGAAATGAAATGGATACACAAGAATTAGGCTCACAAGGCCTGCATGGCTCAGTGGTTGAGTGTCAAGCGATGAACCATATGGTCCCATTCAATTCCTGGTCAGGGCACATGCCTGGGTTGTGTGCTCAGTCCCTATTGTGGGGCATGCAGGAGGCAGCCGATCGATGCGTCTCACCATTGATGTTTCTCTCTTCCTCTCTGAAATTAATAAAAATATATTAAAAGAAAGAATTAGGCTCAAAGGAATTTGGTCTTATTTTCCCCTTTTCATTTTTATTTGGCTCATGAATTTCATTCCATACCAGTTTTTTCCCTGTGTACAGCGAAGCTTTAAAACAAACAGCAGCAACTCTGTTTTTCTAGTTTAACTAACATGGAAACACGTAATCCTCTTAGTTTTCTTGGTTTTGCGAACAAGGATTTGTTGGGATAAAATCTTTAAGTAGTCCAGTCACATGGAGTAGGTATTCATGTAATGACCTCAAGTACAACCTATTAGAAAAGCAAAGTAATGAATTAATAATGTCCCTTGGTTATTTTCTGTGCTTTGTTTCTCAGCCACATTTTGTGCAACTTTAATGGAAGTAGTGAATGCACAGTAGTTCGCCCCTGTAATTGGAGGGTAGTCAGTTCAGATTCTGCCGCTGCTCTATGCAGCCCAAAGCCACCAGCTGCTTGTGGCTTCTGAAAGGTGGCTAATGTGACCGAGCTGAATTTTTAACTTTAATTAATTTAAAAACTGAGGCACTGCAAAGTATTTTTTGTTAAACACAGCTTTATTGGTAAGCTTAAAGTATGTTGGAGTAACTTGGATGTGTGAATCAACTTTTTCAACTGTAAATTTTATGTTATGCTGATTATTTCTGATGAAAATTTAGCATCCAAATTGGGATGTGGTTTAAGCATAAAATACACCCAGATTTTGAAGACTTGGTTAAAAAGAAAAATTCATGTGCGCTATCTCATTTAGTAATTAATTTTTTATATTGATTATATTTTGAAGTGGTAATGTTTGGGATATGTCGAGGTTAAAGAAAATATATTAAAATTAATGTCAGCTGGGTTTTGTACTGTTAACATGTGGCTACCATAAGTTTAAAATCATACATAAGTGTTTCTCATGATGTTAATATGGAAGAGCACTGGTTTGGTGGATCACAGCAAAAGGTTCCGTGTCATGGTCCACAGGGTTCTCACCCGTTTACCTTGTGTGGACATCATAATGAGCTCAGTTAAAAACAGGAACAACAAAGTCTATGTCATAGCAAATCACAAAACCTATGTAATAATTTGGTTTTTTAAGCTTGTCAAAGCCAGGGGATCTTGGATAATTTTTGATTGCAAAATTGCACCATATATTTAATTTTACTTATCATGGAAAATATCATAATTTGAATTTTGAAATTTTATTTTATTTATTTTATTTTTTGTTAATCCTCACCTGAGGATATTTTCCCATTGATTTTTAGATAGAGTGGGAGGGATGGGGAGGGACAGAGAGAGAGAAACATCAATGTGAGAGACACACATCGCTTGGTTGCTTCCCGGACCAGGTCCAGGGATCAAGCCTACAACCAAGGCATACACCCTTGAACCTGGGACCCTTCAGTCCTCAGGCCAATGCTGTATCTACGGAACCAGACCAGCTAGGGCTAAACTTGAAAAAACTCAACTGGTTACGAGCCATTCAACAGTATGGTTAAGTGAATCTAATTATAGATAACATTATAAAGCTCTTAAGTAATATTTTATGCTATGAACACCGAGTACTTGTAGTTAAAAGCTCAGGTTTTGGAGTCAGGCAGACCTGAGCTTGAATTCCAGATCTGCCATTTTCTAGTTGTGTGACCTTGGACTAGTATTTTAAACTTGCTAAGCCTTGGTTTCATCATTTATAGAATTGGACTATAATAGTCCCTATCTAACAGCATTGTTACAAGTATTAAAAGTTATAACCCACATAAATTACCTGGCATCTGAGATGCGCTCAGTTGTTGATAATAGTTGCCGATCACAAAGTTGTTGTTGTTGTTATTATTACTATTGGCCTTATAAAATATCCAACATTCTCCTCAAGCATCCTATTTGCTATCTTGCTGTTGCATCTGGAAGGTTCTGTCAGAGCTGCCATTCTTTTGCAAGTTTTTAAAGTTAGTTTAGTGTTAAATTTACTTGCTCCTCTTGTGCTTATCCTTGACCTTGTTTTGTTTTCCTTTTATCCTTTCTTGTTCTTTGCCCCATTCTGCAATTAGCCTTTGATTCCAAAGTTTCTCTTCCCCTACTTTGTCCTTTCTGTAATGGGCACATTCCATATCTCTACTAAAGTTTTATTTATGAGTATGTACTAAGCACTTACTATGTGCCAGGCTCTCTGATAGGTGCTAGGAATACAAAGATGAATATAAAGTTCCTGCCTTCAAGGTGCCTACTCTCAGTCCAGGGAGGGAGTTTATAAATAAGGACAATAAATGTCACAGGTACCCTCATAGACGTTGGAAGAGAGTCCAGTGTGGGCAGGGGCAGGACTGAGACCATGGATTCTACCAGGGTGGTGATCAGGAAAGATTTCTTAGAGGAAGTGACAATTGAATGGTTTTGATAAATGAGCAGGAATTGAGAGTAGGACATAAAGTTGGAGCAGAAACAGGCAGAGGGCCCAGTGTAGACACAAGAAACAAAGCGAAGCCAGGGTAATGTGTTTAGGCAATGTCAGTCCAGTAGCATCTCCTTGTATTTAGAATAAGACCCCAACTCCTTTCCATGGCTCCTCAGGCCTTTGCCACCAGACCATTGGCCACCTTCCCAACTTGGCTCTTTCTCCTCCGCCTCTATCACCAGATTCCAGCTACAGGTTCCTGTTCATGGAATTAAACACAAAACAAGCGAACCAACTTGCTCCTGCTGCAGGGCATTTGCACCAGGTGTTTGCCTTGTTCTTACATCAACTCTGCTAGGCTTCCTTCATTTCTTTGTTCAGTTCTCAGCACAGCTAAATCCGAGTGGCCTTCTCTTGGGGATCCCTGTCAGGCTGCACCCATTGCCCTGCTGTGTTCACCTCTCAGCACCTACTGCTGTCTGAGAGTATCTTGTTTCCTCGTGTATGGATGGTCCGTCTTTCCCTTGAGTGTGTGAGGCCTTGGTGCCCGCCTACCCCCCAGCACCTAGCACAGTGCTGACACATCATTGCAGGCACTCAGTAGGCACTTGTTCTAAAAGCTTGATTCTTGGGGAAACACCCCTAAGTTAAGGTGTTCTTCTCCCCAGTCACTTCAGCTAAGTTGCTGTGAAACTAATGCTAGTTTCTGGAGTGATTGTATCTTTTGTGGGAGGAAGGGGAGGCAGCTCTATCAGTCAGATTCCCGAGAGGAAACAGATGGACACTCAACGGGATAATTGAGGAGCGATTATTAAAGGGGTTATCAAGGTTTAGGGAAACCAAGAAGGGAGTGTGAAGTACTGCCAAAAACAGAGAGAAAATAGTTGCATGGAGCAGGCCCGCAGCCACCCTGCTGTCACCCGGAAGCCAGGGAACCCATTGAATGAATGCCCTGACCTTCTCTGCTCCCAGTCTCTCATCTTCTGCCTGTGCCCCCATTGGCTTAGCCCAGTGGGGTGCCAGAGGGCAAGGGAGACAACTCCACATGATCAGCCTCCAGCAGAGTGAAAGGGTGCAGAGTACAAGGAGAGTAAATCATATAATGTGTCACGCCAATTATTTTGTTCCTTAATCAAACACTGTTTTGTATTGTTACTTATTTTATATGTTACTTATTTTATATGATGCCAATAAGGGAAAGGTATTTGAGGACAGGGAAATGCTTACAGCTCCTTTAACACCCTGGGATGATGTGATGGGGGTTATTCCTCAATATGTGTGAATTTTGAGTCTTAATTGAATAATATGTGAAAACTTGTGAAATGAATATGTTCTGAAACCAGAATATTTTGAGTAAATCTTAGGAATGACAAGCCACAATTTAACCCTCCATGATAGCTTGCTCATAGTACCCCAGTGCCTGGGACGCAGGAATGACAGATGGTCCGTTTTGTGTGTCAGTGTGCTTGTTCAAGTGCATCATTTATGACCACAATCATGGAACTCCATTTGCTTCCCAGGCCTGACAAAATTCTCAGTAGGGAAGTGGATGATTGATGAACCTTCTAGGGCACTTTCTCTGTCTCAGCTCACTCTATTCTGAGGCTGATTATATTCCTAAAGGGTTAGTGATTCAGCATTGTCCTATCAAGTAATGTATTTTAGGAACAAAAAAATAAGTGATTTAATTTGATGTTAAAAGGCAAAGCTAAGTTCTAACATAATCTGTTCTTTATCATTTGTTGAGAGCTCATGATGTAGACCTTGAATTTTAAAATGTAATAGGAAATAATAGCTACCTCGTTTGAGCTCCTATTCTGGACTCTACTGACGTGCAATCCAGTAGTCTCATATAGTTGGTATTGGTGCAGTTTTATTTTTGAAATAAACTTAAGTCATCATCAGGAAAGCTAGATTCAGGTTTCAAGCTTGGCATCTGTCTGAAGCCAAGGGCCAGGTTCTTGCTGCGTGCACAGATGCCCTCAGGCGAGGACTGCCAGGACCCTCATCGGAAGCCTGCAGTGGGGTAAGGGTGGGACTGTGGAGCTGGTCAGCGAGGAGGACAGGGCTGAGGTGGTCACGAATCGCTCTCTTGCTTGCCTATGCTGTAGGAGATCAGCGGCCACGGGAAAGGAGGAGCGGTGGTGTGGAAAGGGCCATGAGGAGGGCCACTGACACCAGTTGGTGGACTCATTGGGGAGCACTGGCAACCGTAATTTCAAGCCCCTCTCCTTCCAACTTGTAGATCAACTGTCACTGTGCTTATGGTCATAGGGCCTCTACCATGTGTCTGAGTTCCTCATTTTGTACCCAAAGGTTATCTTGTAGTGTTAGGAATTCTTGGAGCCCTGAAACCAGAAAGAGGATTTAGAGTTTCGGTTCCAAATGAGGAACCTAAACTCATTTGTCGAGCAGTTTGACTCTTTCCCAACTGAGAGAAGGTATTGGAGACTTGGAGGAGGAAAATGCGAAAGAGAAAAGGATTCAAGCAGACAGGTCAGTCACTTGGGTTCTAAGATTGTCTTTTTTAAAGTGAAAGTAAATCAATTTAGAAAATATCCATGAGGTGGAATCATTTGACTTTGCTAACTAAACAAAGTTTAGTGGAGAAAGATTTCCTGGTGCGTATTCAGCATGTTAGGCATTTCAACAGAATTAGAATTTGGGAGCACTCTGAAAACATTTCTGGGTAAAAAAAAAAAATATTAGTAGATTTTGCATACGATTTTCTGTACAGTAATGATCAGGGTGGGAGAAAATGCTTTGTATTCCTGCTGGTCAGTAATTACCTTAAAGTCCACTTTCCCAACGTAGTAACTCCAAAATCACTGAAAAAAATAAATAAATAAAAAATGGCAGCAAAGAAATGGCCCACAGGGCAAATGCTTCAGAGGCTATCCCCAGAGCTTCTTGCTAATGTGCCTTTACCCACCCGTGTGGCGAAGGGCTCTGATTTGCACAACCTCCACGCAGGGGGTCCAGTGAATGATCTCGTTCTCCCTGAAGCCAGACCTTATTTTCCATCATTACTTTTAAAAGTGACAAAATGTTGAGGGCAGAGACAATCTGAACTAGTAATCCTGTTTAGTGGAAGGTTTTTATTCATTGATGGCAGCCAGGCTGCTTGAGCTGAGCATTATCTTGGTCAGTCCTCTCACAGCACGGACAGTTCTCACACCATTTACAGGTGGAGGATGGGAGAAACAGAGAAGTTAAGTCTCTTAATCTCTTGCTGTCCTATGTAGCACGGTAATTCTCGAAGTTAAGGTAAAAGAGAAAATTATAGGAAAGGCCCTCAAATATCAGCTTTTAGATGTAAGAACAATGCACTTTAAGTAGGCTTTGACACTAGGTAAGGGTACAGAAAGAAAAAGCTAAGAAAACTGAAAATGAATGGAAGTAGAAAATGGAATCAGAGGATCATCATTTATTCCACAAATACCTGTTAAGCACTGGGGGTAGAATCCTAAGTGTTGGTTTCTTTACCAGGGAAACGCACAATGGTCCTACATCTGTCTAATCAGAAGATTTGTGCTGAAGTAGGAGAAAACGCCAGTTTGAGAGTGTCTGTGATAAGGCTGAGATTGGTGCTTTTGGTTTCTTGTTTGGCGACATTCCTGTCTCTTTGTAATTCTAAGGTTATTCCAGACCTTTTAAAAATAAATAAATAAATAAATAAATAAGTAAATAGCATGAAACACCATAGGAGAGGATCAGGAAAGGGAATACAGGATTTTTTTTTTTTTTTTTTAATTGGGACACAGGAGGAGAAAATAATTGACAGAGAGGAACAGCATTATTTTTGCATAGAATCTGACCAGGTGCCTGTTACACTCTCTGCATTTGTTTGGACTGTCATGTGAGCTGTCTCTAGAACTGTCTTCATTAAGCTATCAACGCCGGGGTCTTTCTGAGGCCACCTGCAAGGAGTTTCGTCTGAAGACAGGCTGTGGGTCAGGGACCCTCCTTGGTGAGCAGGCATTTCTGTTTGAGGAAGTCCCCGTGGCTGTCCCGTGTGCTGCTGGGGTCACCAGCATGCAGAGCTGGAGTGTGGACGCAGCGATTGGAATGGAGCCTCTTTCCCAGAACTGAAACTGGTCCCATTTGTTGGCTCAGCACTGGAGGAAGGCTGTTCCAGGAAGCAGACCCGAAGGAACTAACACAGTCATGTGTTCATGGGTGACTCACTCAGGGTTTCTACTTCAGCACGTGACCCTCAGGCCACCAAATGATTGGGGTGGGCTGCAAGTTACTGATTCATTCCAGGAGGGGCACCTTATCTGAGCAACTCCCTTCTTTCTCCTGGAATAGCTTGAGTGACAGGTAAACATTCAGCATTCACTGTGGAGCCAGCCTGCCTGAATCTGAATGTTATTTAATATCATTCTACCTCAGTTTCTTCTTCTGTAAAATGGGCATCAGATTCATAATACTGCATAAGGTTTCTGTGACTGTTATCTGAGCTCACACATGCACAGTGCTTATCACAGTGAATGCCCCGTGGTAATTATCAACATTCATCAAGAAAGAGGAGCCGCCGTCAACCGCTAACCCTCAACCCAAATGATTTCTCATTATGATGTTAACCCATTACATTTATTTTTATTTTACAGTTTGTGAAATGCTTTCATATATGTTATGTCCAGTGATCAGAGGATGGAGAGCAGTTAGAATATGTTCCACATCTATAACAGACTGCTGAGAGAGTATAATCAGGGAAAGCTAAGGGGAATGGTCTCAAGGAATGCGTTTCATGCCTGAGGTGCCACCCCAGGCGGAGTTTAGGGGAGGCGGCCCCACCAAGGCTGATGCATACCCTGTCCCTTAGCAGGCTGTGTGGACCTCAGGGCAGGTGAGATGCCCCAGGACCCTCTCCCAAGGAGAACCTGGACGGGGAACGGGGTGGGTGTAACTGGGTGGGGATAGAACCAGAGGAACTACTGACAAGTCTGAGACCCCGAGACTCCACCCTACCCAGGAGGCAGCCACCAGGCACAGAGAGCATCTGAGAGATCAAACTCATTCTTGCCCTCCTGCGGCCTGCCCATTGGGAGCTTGTTATACGTGAGGCCAGGCACAGAGAAAACCAGATTTATCTCTTCAGAAGAGAAAATTCCAATGACCAAGTGGCACTGTGCTCTTGGCCAGCAGAGTGGCTTCACTTGTCCTTTCAGCGCTAAAACCAGGACAGTCCCAGGAAAGCCCTCAGGGGTTGGTCACCTGGCACACAGCGGCCCTGATCAAGTGGCCCAAGGCAGATTAAGGACAAAGCCATTACTCAGATGCCAAGGCCGATAGCTTGGTGAGACTCCTTAAAGGTAGCTACGGGAGTAATATTCCCTTTGTGAATGAGTGTTTCTCTCTGTGGGGCCAATACCCTCCCAACCCAGACCTCCCTCCAACCCCCGTTCACGGTTTTTCTTTAGGAAAATGACCACCTGATCATCTGTGTAACCTGTTTGAGTTATTCTTAATTTTGTGTTTTTTCCCTTCAATTATATTTCTTCCAATATTTTGATAGCTCTTTTCTTATCCCCTCCTACAGTATTTGATCTTGTGGTTACTTATGAAATTCTCAAACATACCTATAGAATCCAGGTTTGTCTAACAGCCTGGAAGGAGTCATTTCTTTGAGTTTTTTAGAATCTGGAGATTCTGCCCTAAACAGTTTGGCTCAGTGGATAGAGCGTCGGCCTGCAGACTGAAAGGTCCCAGGTTTGATACTGGTCAAGGGCATGTATGTACCTTGGTTGTGGGCACATCCTCAGTAGGAGGTGAGCAGGAGGCAGCTGATCGATGTTTCTCTCTCATCGATGTTTCTAACTCTCTATTCCTCTCCTTTCCGCTCTGTAAAAAATCAATAATATATATATATATTTTAAAAGAATCTGGAGATTCTTTCTTACCTCTATTTCATTTGTCTCAGTAGGGTGGGTCCCCTGAGGTTCACTGGAATCAAGCAAATATAGGTCTTCAGGGTTTCTTAGAAAAATTATAATTAAAATTTATGGGTTTTTGTTTTGTTTTTACTAGAAAGCTTGTTTCTCTCAGGCTATTTCTGAAATAATGCAGTGATGTTCTATGTAGGCACTTTAGGAGGAGCCTCTTGCATTCTTAGAGAAGATTGTAGATGTTAGAAGTCCAGTAACCCACAACACCCACAGGAGGCTGCAGAACCGAAGACCTGCACAATATGGATTCCTCCACCTGTTCAGCTGGCACTACTCTTTCTAATTTCTTTAATGGAAACATATTCTAAATACTGCTCTTCAGTTGCTATGACAGCTTTGTGGCAAAACATCATCTGATTGACCTTTTAGCTTTTAACAAGTGAGTATTTAAACCAAAGCTATCTAATACTATTTTTAAATTCTTAAGACTTAAAGTCTAGCAGAAATAGAAATTCCAATTATCTTTATTAGTAAACTGTTCCAGTTTGTAATCACCCTCAAAATAAAATTTTTTTCATTTTCTTAACCACTGAAGATAATTTTCTTCTTTATAATGTTTATTTTATTAGGACAAATTTTAATCTAATTATAAAAATGGTGCAGGCCACTAAAGAAACAGAGAGGAACACAAAGGAGAAAATAAAAATAATCTGTCATCCCACAAACCAGAGATAATTGTGTTGGGATTATACATCTTTTAAAAATGCATGTAATATATGTTCATCAGGCTTTCTCCTATTCAGTTCTCGCTAGGGATAGGAAACATTTTCACAGTTTTGTGGTGAAATTTAATTTATTGTACTTTTAAATGAATAAATAAGGAGTTTCATAGGAAAATTAAATGAACAAAGAATGCATCGTGATGAACACAACACTTTTTTATTAAGTTGTCTTATTCAAATAAACTGGGCTTGGGTACCAACGTTCTTAGTTTCTTATCTATCCTTTTGGAAATTTTTTCATGCTATGCAGGCAGATATACGTGTAGCTTCTACTCCTCTCCTTCCTTTTCCACGAAAGGTAGACTACTAGGTGAGTAGTTTTGCAACTTGTTTTTCTTCACTTTGCAATACATTTTGGCGATCTCTCACTCTCAATGCATTGAGAACTTCCACATTAACTTAAAAAAAAAATGACATAGTAGTCAATTGTATCTATTTACCATAATTTATTTAACTTGTTCACTGTTGATGATCATTTGGTTTGTTTCCAGTCATTTGCAATAAAAAAAAAAAATGCCAACTAACTTTTCTTATACTTACCTCATTTTGCAAGTATTAAATATACCTATCGGCCGAAACCGGTTTGGCTCAGTGGATAGAGCGTCAGCCTGCGGACTGAGAGGTCCCGGGTTCGATTCCGGTCAAGGGCATGTACCTGGGTTGCGGGCATATCCCCAGTGGGAGATGTGCAGGAGGCAGCTGATCGATGATTCTCTCTCATCGATGTTTCTAACTCTCTATCTCTCTCCCTTCCTCTCTGTAAAAAATCAATAAAATATATATTTAAAAAAAATACCTATAGGATAAATTCCCCAAAGTATAT